GACTTACAAAATGTGCATCTCCCGAAGTCTTCCCCGAGGCTGCTTGTGTCTGCGGCTTTCGGCTGTCGCGGGCCGTGGGCATATCAGCAGATGTACGTTTAGACACTGACGCCGCAATCGTGGCCGCTCCCGTAGCCGTGCCATTGTACTGGGTTCGATCTGGATAATAGTTAGCGGGTCGGTAAGCTGTATAGAAGTCTGGTAAATTACCGAGTGAGGCAGTAGCAGCATGGTTGCCCCTTGCCGCAGCATCTCGTCCACCCCTAAGACCACCACGACCGCCCCGCGAGCCGCCTCTCGAAGGTATAGGCGTGTTGAATGACACGCTAGGTACAAACTCTATAGGCTGCCACTCCTTCTTGCTCCGAGGCTTGCTCGGAGCAGAATCATCCTTCTGCTCTTTCTCAGACTTTCCAGTCTGAACTTGAGCCTTCAGCCCGCTTGCTGCTGTTTCAGGCGTTGGCCAGGACGAAGTGTTATTTGCGGCCGGGCTCAGAGTCTCAAGAGCGGCTCTTTCTTCGCCGTTGTTTAGCCTAGCGCCCCTTGGCGCCGCCCTACGGGCTTGATTGCCATTGCTTCGGAATTGATCGAAGTCCTTCTTAGGCTTTATGTTACCAGATGACGGCCTGCTGTGGGCCGCATTTGCTTCGACACCTTCATTCTGGGGTGACTTTTGCTTCTGGTCCTGCGTTGTTGCATTGGACAGTCCATCAGGTTGGTTTGCTGTCGCGCTGCTGGAACTACGTGGTTGTATAGCTGTGGGGGAGGTGGTCTTGATCTTTGCAGCCCTGGCCTCCTGCCTCTGTGTCCATACGTTAACTGCTGGCACCGGTGCTTCAGACAGCTCTGGCTGAGGAGGTAGATTCTCCTTCTTCTCTTGGTCCTGATCTTGACCAGACTCCTTTTCGGTTGCTTTGCTCTTCTTGCCCTTTCGACCTCTCTTACCATCCCCACCATCCGTCGTCTGCGAGGTAAGGGTCTGACCACGCCCTCGCCTCCCGGCGCTTTGGGGTACAACTTCACCTAGCACTTTCTCAGCGCCTTGGCTCGGTAGACTAGATAGCTCCGCCGCTTTATCGCTGGTGGAGGTGATATCCGAATCGGTGCTATTTAAGCTAACAGATTCAGCCTTAACAGAAGAGCTCCTGGTATTTTGCGAGCCATCTAATTCATTCGATGTTGTCGAGATTGCGACGGAGGGGGCCCGCGTACTAGGCGTAGGGACGACATCGCGACTCTGTGTGCTCGTCGTTGATGGCGCTTGACTCTCCGAACTCGACTGGGACGCAGTAGTAGACTGCATTGTAGTAGGTTGGCCTTTGGCGGCCTGAGCGTATGAAAATGCTGCCGAATTGGACATAGCGCTGCGACTCGACCTGACGATATTCGTATGCAAGTCCTGCAGTTGATCTGGTTATGCAACAAGGTAGCGGCAAGCTACTAGTCTGTCGCGTACCTTAAATAGACGAGGAGTAAATAATCTGCCCACGTCCACCGACACGCCAGGCGCTCAACCAGCCCTGGAAACACCTCACCAGCCAAGGGTGGCCCTCCACAAGTATAGATTCAGGTTGATCAAGCTTCTAAGGGTAAGTGGAACTCAAGTCGAAGCTCGCAGATAGATCAATCACTGCGGTGGTAGATATAAAATTGGTAATGCGAAAAATCTATCACACCAATCGTAGGATTTCGCGTCGAATATATTCGCGAAACTAGTGATGGATGAGAGGATGGAGTACCGGCAAGAAGATTTTTTTTTTATACTTCCTATAAAAATGGTCCAATGGTAATCGGTTTATCGATTGTCGAAAGTGAATGCGGGGTGCGATCAACAAACCTCCCAGGTGTAATCCGACTAAGGACAGGGGAGGAAGTAAAAGTGAGTATGTGTGATATCGAAGAGGGGGCTTTGGGGCCAGGTAGAAGAAACTGCAACTTCTGAAATAACCGTTGGCTACCTAGTTACGTGGGCGACCAACAAAGTGGTGTCGTTTAGGTTTGGGAGGATTGAAGAGGGGAAAAAAAAAATTAATGAGAGAAAACGTGACAGTTATCCGAGATGACTGTGCTTGGGGCTGCAGCGGATTTTAGTTTGGGAACCGAACCCGATGTGGCCTGACCAAATTCAACCTGCTTAAGTTAGAAATCCCATGAATTCCGTCCTAGTTCGTGTTAGTAACTGGACGCTGATCTTGGATGGGCGAAATAGAGAAGCGGTTCGGACCGTAATGGTTGCCCACAGTTTGCGTACGTGAGGGTGCGGGACAGATTTGTTGTGGTACCAGTGGGAGTAGACAGGTGTAGACGTACTTGAGTTGGTGATGGTGGAAGAGAATAGAGAGGGAGAGTGAATGGTAAATGTAAATGCAAATGTAAATGCAAATGTAAATGTAAGGGAAGACAAAGCGTAAGGTACCTTGTAGAAGCAGGATTTAAAAATTCGCGGAAGCGAAGTGAAGCCTGTGACGCTTCTTGGACGTGGATCGTCTTCCTTTTCTCAAGAGTAACTGTACGCAGGGTTAAGAAGTAGGGTTTTAACAAATTGCAGGGTAATAAATGAGGAAGTGTGTGTTTGCAATGTTGTAAGAGTACGGGTGTGTGTAAATGGGTTTATTTTGTGTGCAATGGAAAAAAATAAAAATTTCCCTCTTCTTCTGGTTCCTTACTAAACGACCTAAGGAAAAAAAAAATTCTAGCTAAGATCGGGTAGCCGGTGGTTGTACGGATTGAACTTTGAATTTTGTTACCTACAAAAAGGTACGCCTTGGTCATTTAGTTGGAAACTCGCAGCTACTGATGGATGGTGCTTGCTCCGTACAGGCCACATTAGTACATACGGTACAGTACATACACATACGTCTGTAAATTTATTTAACCTTTTTGCACGTCTGTTTTTATGTACATTGTGTTACCTCTCTGAGAGCATATTTTCTTCCTCATTTTTAACCTATTTCCATCTTCTATAATAACCGCAGTGGCACTACCTGAACTTCCACCTCTGGGAGCCAGGGACAATGTATGGCAGGTACCTGATGTGTAGCATGTAAATATGTAGGTACATACCCCATTAAGGAGGTAGTTACGACTTGAAGTCGGATATCCAATCTAATACATGTGGTAAGGTAAGTACCTAACCTTAGGTACCTACCTACCTAAGTTGTTAGGTAACCTCAAGGTCTAGGCGAAAACAAGGTTACATGTTATTTCACGGCTGTTGCTCGGCACGAACATAGCATCTTCTAAGTTTGATGTACCTAGCTTTGGGGGTAATACCTGAGGTAATGCCTGTAAGTGAATTTTTAAACTAAGAAATAAAGCATGACGCTTAGGCACTAAATAGCCCACATTATTAAAGATAATTCGTGGGCGCGTACATGGGCTGCATACATATGTAGTTCGCGGATCCATGACGAGGTGGGTGGTGGTGTAAGAATCTTCAGACTTCGAAGACGAAGACAAGCACAATCAAGACTGAGGGAATACAAATGTGCTGTCTTGTGCTGCGTCGCATTTGTAGATATACATGTTCACATAGACAGTGACAGCTTGACCGGTCTATATAATCAGATGATAAACTCGACGTATAAATCATATCTATCATTGCTACTAGGTACATAGTGGTAGCTTATCCGAAATAAGAAGTCTAATTCATTGCCGCACTGAACCATAAAAATTTTGATAATCAGCCATGGCTTATAAGTGAGGGGCACAGTTGCCCATAGCAAGCCCACGACCAGACCATAGCCATCACCATGACTACCTAGGGTATACATCTTTCTTTTTTCAATCTGGGTGTTTGAGTTACACTCAATTAAAATTATATTTGGGTGTCTGTCCAGATTGCGACGAGTTCATCATACACAACTTGCTTACCACTTTCTACGAGCAAAACTGATGGATCGGCCATACCTTAGTTTTCTATCTCTCAAACTTGTGTCTAAATGCGCAATACTTACCCAAATAAGACATGTATGTCTGAGTAGACATGCGTATTATTCCATGTAAAGAAGCTTCTGGTTAGGCTGAAGAGAGGGGTACGCCAACCAGATCCCTTCTTCTTTAATGTCTTCCGTCCGTCCCGTATATATCCCTCGTAGGGCGAGCGGACCTGATAACTCTCTATTATCTCAAGTTTAAGGGCTTCTATGCTTAAATGACTCATTTATTATTTATCTCTCTCCGCGTGGGGGGTTTGATGAAATCTTGAATTTAGGTAAATAACTACCTGATTGTCTTTTCTTTCTGCTTTGACCAAACATCCCTCATTCTGCCCCGCGTAAATAGAAATTCCATTTTTAGAACAATAAAGCATGTGAATTGTACTCTTACCTTCCGGTAAACCCTTTTCGACATCGCTACGCGACGTCCATGCCGGATTCTAGATCCCCTCACCGCGTATATCTACGTAGTACCGCAACTATCTCCTAAAGTCATCGTTGATTTCCATGCTACCTGGTCTGCCTGTGTCACACTGAGAACCAACCATGACGGCCATCATGTTGCTCCGCTTTCTCCATTCGATCGTCCACTGTATATCTTTTATTGTATATGTACTTAGCTCGTCCCTGAACTCGCTCCGCTTCTTCCGCCCACCTTGAACATTTTTCTTGGAGGGGTTTTCTTGGTCTTGTAATAATACATCACCCGGAATTTGTCTTAGTGACACGCGAGTAATAAGTTAGACAACTACATATTGTTGCGAGTGAGTATTATTGATAGCAGACCTGTGTTTTATTCGAGTCTTGAAACATGTCTCCCGCCGCTACGGGTTTTTACCTGTCCGGCTCTTTTTCGAATTCATGCTTACTAGATATTTGCGAACGAGCTTTAAGATCGGGGTTTCCGAAAACATAGATTATCTCTAGGCAAAACGGGGTGTGGGCTCCGAGGACCTTGGCCAAGGTACGCTCAACCCCAACCGGTGGATCCAAATGAGCAGCTAGGCCTTATCTATGGTGCCCTTTGAATATTTTTGAATTTAACATCTATAATAGATGCATACCTTAGGTAAGTAATACAATGCGGCCTGTTTATATTGGGTCGAGCTCTAGATGAAGCTTTATCGACCGTTCTAGGCGGATTTGTTAATTACGATTTAGCAAGTTAGTGAACTATATGTTTTCCTATAGTTAGGCCCTATTTATACTTTAGTAGAATAATTCATTGTCTTGTACGTATGTATCAACAATTAACCACTTATGAATATAGAGCTCAAGACTTCAAAGAGCAAATCAACACGGGGAGATATAGGCAATGCTAACGCTTTACCTTCGCTCCTATTGACCTTGTAATTCTTTTTTATGCTGGCAAATGAATTCCAATTGTCGTAGCCCGTAAGTGAGACCAATAGACTCTTAACCGCAAAACAAGCGAAACACAATAATATACACAAAATGGGATCTAGCCAGTCATCCATGTAGCCGCCCTCCGTGCCCCAAAGCTGGTAGCTAGTCGAAGACCACTTGAGCCCATCGGAAAGTAACTGACAAGGTACCAGAGAAGACATACAATCTGGATGACCGCAGCTATTAGAGTAAGAAGACCGTTGTGGAGCTGTACTAGGTTAGCTGCCTCGATCTTGCCTTAGAGTAAGTGATCAACGACTTACACCCATAGAGAAGTAGATAGTCAGTGCAATGGATCCGAAGTAGGCTGCCGTGAAGGGCAAACGCGTTCCGGATGATAGATGTTGAAGGTACGCTATAGGGCCCATCATAGCTGCGAAGGAACAGAGAAATAATATGGAGCCAAAGGTCCATCTAAGAGACAAGATACTATTAGCATGTTATCCTCGAGTTGCACACCATCTGCTTAGAACCTGAACAAGGCACAGAAAACGTCGTAGAAAGAAGGTTGGATCTACCGGGCAGATCACCCGTGTCGTTATGCGAGATTGATACATATGCAGCAGCGGCTGCTTGCAGAGATGTTCATCTTATCTAGAGTCTTATGGGTGCTATCTTTGACCACGAGGACAAAACAGCAGGGGTAGCAGAAACTGGGAAGCTAGGAGAGTCTTGGCCTTACAAGATGACGAATTTGCTAGGCTTGGTCACGAAGACCGGCCACAGAACGAAGCAGAGCAGAAAGCAGATGAAAGCAGCCAGGTTACAGGCACCGAATATTAATATCCGGTCCCACCGGCTCACTAGGTAGAATCAAGATTTCAAGTTAGTCTTGAGGAATAGCTATGGTGGGTCGTTGCGTCCATGTGCGAAGGTGAGACAAGATGCGCGCCGCGCGGAAGACGCACGTGGTGTCAACCATTAAAGGTCCGCTTGAAGGTCTGCTGCAGGGGAAATTATAGGACTAAAAAACAAGGACGAGGACGACTCACGGACAAACCATCCTTCCTCCTCTTCGCGACGGTTGCTAGCCGGTAATGGAGCGCCAGCACCCTCTGTAGTGGGTAGTTGTACATATCCGCGGTCTCCAAAGGGATTCAACGACTTTATCGATGATAGTAGTCCGGACCGCTGTGACGTATTCGCTGTAAATTCTCGGTCTGGGTCACGCGACCATCCTAAGGAGTTCATGGATTCCCTAAAGGATGCAGACGCCATCGTATATAATATCTCTCGCTCGTTGGACTTCAAGCCGACTCGATAGTATCGGGTTCCGGGATCACAAAGGAAGGCGACTTCTGTCTCGGTAGGTATGTGTGCGAGTATGGCTTGGAGATGTACGGGGCGGATCGTGCGGGAGATGCTACTTCGTAGTGGATGTTACTATGCGTCAAATGACCCCTCTCCTCTCGCGTTGGAGCTGGATGGTGCTAAGGGGGGAGGCTGTGGGTTGATGGAAGATGAGATGCGTCGATGCGTTGATGCGTCTAGTTGATGTCGCGTTTAAGAAGCACTAAAAACGAAGTGTGGTGGAGAAGTAAAATGCATCAGCCAGAGCCATGAGCCACACAGGCACAAATACGGCTGGTGGTCTGTGCGAGTGGGACCGCTAGCATGACATTTGGATGTACGTCATTGGTTCCCTACCCTGCATGTGGCTTCAAACTGATCCCGCTAAAATGGGACCCGCTCAACCTTGTCCTACTTATACCTTATACCTTATCTCAAGATACTGCACGCTTGCATACCCGGTACATAGATGTTTAGTACCTATAAAGTGGTTCTTGGTTTTATAGAAGTGAAGATGTTGCTATACTCAGGCATCTTTAGAATATTATCCTGGTCGTTATACCGTAAGAATTTCTAATTTAGTTTAAAGAGTGGGCATAAACGCATAGTTTGCAAATATCTGTTGTAGCCTATTCCGTAGATATTTGCGAGTTATGTGGTTTGTTAATGCAACTCGCTAATCTACTTGCCACCCCTCGTAAATCTAAGCATCCGTCTACTCCGCAGGTGGACGTAATGCAATGCCCCCCTATCAGGCAGGTATTCCAAGTTGTCGACATAGTACGATGTTGATGTAATGTAATCTATACGCAAGTTCTGATGGTCGCGTAGATTCGACGATTACGCGCTTGCGTATAGGTACCACATCTATAAACATAAACATACACACACAGAAGTCTACCTACCTTGCTTATCATTAAGGTGTGTCAGAAGCGACGCATCCTATTGGCGGGAAGCACTTCAGTCATCTAAACTTGGGATATACCTCTCCTGATGGTTGCAAGACTGGTCAACTTCTTGGAGCGGCGGAGAGCGCGGCTGCGCAGGTTGTAAAATATTAGTCTAGGAGTAATGCGTGCTAATATACCTAAGACTTAGGTCTCACGTAACTAATATTCTCAAATTTATTTATTAAATTTGTTCAAGTTTTCATTTTCAAAGTTGAGTGTGTTCAGTGTGTTCAGTGTTTCTCAAAACAAGCCTCACCCGTCCATTTGAAGCATCAGCTAGGTCCCGTTATTGTTAGGTAGCTGGGATTGCCAATCACGCACCGTGCCGAACGGACGCTATCCAAACTTTATTAACAACCGCCCACGGTGCTGGATGCGCTACGAAAATGATTGGCTCCCACTGTCAATGCTGGGGATGCACCGATGCAGAAGCCGCGGATCGTTATGGGGAAGAGGCCGGCGACATTTGGGAACCTGCAGCCTTAAGTTACATCGGAGCGGTCGTCGGCCGGCAGAGGCTAAGACTTACTCCCATACTCCACCTACCATAGCTTCCGTTCACATCAACCTGTTGCCATTCTACATATAGACCATGTATGTAGGTATGTTCTAAGATCTACCCCTCCATCTTCAACAGATCATACTACGTTGTATATGCAAAGAGACTCTATCCTACCAGCCGCTATGACCTCATCGCCTTCGTATTAAAATGAAGATATTTCAGAAACGCTGCTGCCGCGCAGGACTCTAAAATATTAAAGGCTCCAAAACTATTCATCCTGTTATAAGCAGATACAGCTCCGTCTACACACCACGCGGCTCGCATGACTATACCCCTGCGCGGGAAATTTGTAATAGACTAAGCTTAGAAAGTACCGTTTGCGCAAATGCTGCACCCCGCCATCAGTAAAATAAAAAGACACTTGAACGCGAGTTCCTAAACGAGTTGCTAAAGCGGGTGCCTTGCGCAAAGAGCCAGATCTCGCAGTCTTCAGTCAGCCTACTAACTGATTCAAGGCATGGCCTCAATGACTGTGACTCACAATAGGGATCATGCTGACAATTTCCGAGGTTTCTGCTCCGAATTTCCCAAAATCCCATGTCTTCGACCACACTTTCCGGTAGATCATCGTTCTATCCTTAGGCCAAAATAAGGAGGGCACCGTGTCTCACCTAGGTGGGTGGGTTGGCTGACTTCGGCCGGGTCACGAGTCTAAGTGCCGCCCACCCCTTCCCCTTTTGTCTTTCGCGGACAGGGGCCCCTCTTCATTATAGTATTCTGACGATAAGATAAAGCTCAGTTGCGCGGTTCGCGGTTTAAGATGGAGTGAGGTAACTTCGTATGAGTCCGGTGAGAGTTGGGAGAGACACCTCCTTCCCGCTGCCCTCCTACACACCATCATCAGTTCAAATGAGACGATTCCAAGCTATACCAAGTCATAAGACGCACAAATAACCTGTTTGAATAAAATAAGGTAAAATGAGATATGGCTTGGGGGTTTGTCATCTCACTAGGGGGTATTTTTAGACGTACATAGACATTCGAATATAAAAGCTATGCACCCCACGCCCATAACCCAATGAACGAATGTTTCTGTTTCTGTCATCTCAACGATTGTAATTAATCAATAGGGCTGACACGACTAATTTCTGGAATACCTTCCTACCAACAGAAGAGGTTAATAATATTATATGCAGTGGATTACTCCCGAGTGTAAGCTGAAAGGACATCTATCCAGAAACAACACTCTGTCAACTGTCGAGAGGATAATAGAAACAGCAAGCAAGCAGCGAAAGTTGGACGACCTAAGACTATTGTTTTGGACTCTTCCTCTAGTAGGACTATTCGAAGTTACGGTATCGACACAGACGCGATCGACCTTGCAGGAGATCTGATCAGGGATTCGGCAGACACCCCGTGGAACCTGGCCAGATAAATACAAAACACATTCCGACAGTGTTTGGTTTACATGGACGATATTGCCTGTTTATACTGGACTATCTCGACTTCTTCGTCCGGACCACAGCAATACACATTCAGTCATACGGAACGATTAGTACGGCAGCAAGGGCAAACCGGAAGGCCGGAGATCTGGTCGGTAGTATCTAAAGGATATCTTGGAGCGGTACAAAAGCTCCGACAGGACACCATCTCACTCTGCCGGCTGCTCTCCTCAACTATACGACACCTGACCCTCTATCGGAAAAGGTGGCTAAGTTTGGGTCTTTTGGGACCTTCAGTATAGTCGATCGGAAGCCGGAGTCACTAAGTGCTGCATGTGCCTTACAACAAAACTGGTTAAGGGCCACACGCTAGGGTCTAGCACTATCACTCGCTAACATCGAGAGCTATCTTACACCCTACACCACCCCTAGCAACTTCCCAGCAAGTTGCAGCACCACTGCGCAACCCCCTACCTACATAGGTAGGTAATACACACCTAAAAGTTACCCAAAAGTTACCAGGTGTTCGCTCAAGTCTAAGCCTTTGTAGGCAACCAATCAATTGCCCGAGAGTGACAGGGAAGGCACATAAACGGTGCACTTGCATTGGCTTGTATTGCCCTGTTCACCTTGCGCTATCCCAAGTTCTTTCCCACCTTGTCCAACATCAGATCGAGCAGCTACTTACAACTCGTTCTCACTCGAGACCGCCTCCTGCAAGTTCCAAAACTCACCGCACGATTCCTTCTAGCTCGCATTTTCCCAATAATAAGTTAGGCAACTGGATTTGTAGGTCCACGATCTATTAAATCTACTGTACTACAAACAATTCTGTGCGGCCACCCTCGTCTAGTCGAACCTATCAGCACCTCTTGGTAGTTCCTCCTCGTATAGGACTTTAACCCCCGGCGCTTTTCGGCTCGAAGCTTCGCCCACAGCTACCAGCTACGCCCGCTTCATCTGGAAGTACATATCATATGTAAGACGGGAGAGAGCTGACAAGAATTGCCCTACCAACGAGCTCTTTGCTACTAATAAACCAATAACCTTGCCATTCTTGCCAACCAAGTTCACCCAACCCAGGCTAGGCTACCTACATCTTCCCTCTAGTTCAAGAACTTGAACACACACATTTGTACCTTCGGCCTTTACCGCCTCGATTCCTAAGAATCCTAGGGTCCTCTTCCTCTTACACATATAGGAGGAACATTCCCAACCCCTACCTTTCCCACACATCCAGCCGAGTTTCCCTCTGTCTATTCTTTGATCTATACGATCTGCTAGTCAGTCGCTTTGCGCCTCGGACTAGTATTTTGATCTGATATACGATTTATCACCTCTTGTGCAACTGGTCACACTTAATAAGAGCCGACTAATCCCGGCGTCACCTCCGTGCTTACGGTCTGACAAGTCTCGTCATTTTTAGCCTCTTCGTACGCTACTTAGGTGTTACCTTCCGTACCCTGCAGTTCATCACTCTTCTGAGGTCAGAATCGCCGTCATCGAGGGTTACCGGCATTGCCTCGGTCGTCTTTCACATCTTACTGGTGTAGGGATTATAGCGATACCGCCTTTCAAATCCGACGAGGCGCAAAATATCTCTTCACCACCTATCCCCGAGGAAGCCAAACTTTACTTCTTCTTTTTTTCCTCTTCTTTTTCTTTCCCATAAACTAAAGCGCTTACTCAAGCCGACCAATAAACCATACCAACGTCCATTGTTGGCCATGCGCATTCATTAACCTGTACGTATACCTCTACTTATTCATTCATTCCTCTCCGCATCTCGGGCAACTCGCGTCCGACTCTACAGGACAAGGGACAAAAGCAGGAAAAAAGGAATGCGAAAAGAAAAGAGAATCCACGCGCAATTTTCCCAATTCAACTCGACTTGGTTTACTCTAGTTAACCAAAGATGCAATAGATATACCTCAACGCCATTTTACGTCCCGCACCCGCACCCCCCATCTATATAGCTCGGATCCCACAAGATATTTTACCTAGGCGACACATTCGCGCAACGTTGTCCGCTATTTATCTGCATGGCTACGTAATCTGTGGCCAACGTTAAGAAAGACGCTTACACGACTTCGTGCATCTTTTACCCGAGGTAGATAAGATATTTCTTTTTGTATCCTTGTTACATAAACGCCCTACAACATTGGCGGCTGCCTTCTATTAATATTTAGGTAGGTACCTAGTTAGGTACTTCTAGTGAGCTGAGTCTCCTCGGTGTATCAAGTGTATCAACCCATGGTGTACCTTAATGCTTCCTTGCCCCACACACATCCCACTACTCCCACTACTTCCACTACTCTTCACTTCCTTCTTCCTATATGTAGATGCGGGGCTGACTCTGTCCTCGACAGAATAATTATACCAGACTCTCAATTGCCGACCGTACTCGACAGGGCACAACAGCCTCACATCTACTTCGCCACTGCTATAGTCCGACAATAGCTTGAGGGGCTATACATATAACTGAACAACTACCA